TCCTTCTTCTTCTTTCCCTTCCCCCTTCTCTCTCCTTCTCATTCTTCTTCAGTCTCTAAATGCTAAGGTTCAATGAACCTTTTCCACAGCACCCCCGGCGGCAAATGGTCGAGATCACTGCGATCCGGACACATCACCGAACCATTCAATAGGCAGGAGCGACAGCGGAGTGTACAAAGAGCAGGGACGTAATCAGCGCGAGCTGATGACTCGCGCTTACTAAGCATTCGTCGTTCACGATCAATAATTACAACAATCTATCCCGTCGCGCTGAACATCCTCCCCTTCTATTTCTTCTTCTTCTTCTTCTTCTTCTTCTTCTTCTTCTTCGCCTATTCAGTTTCCCTATGTCGCTACCTTGCTGTCTTCCCCGCGCGATCTCTCCGTTATTCCCTGCGTGGTATCTCGCCAGTTTCTCCCAAAGTGACTTCCCACGCGATGGTCGGTTACGACTCCTTCGAGCGATTTCCCGGCTACCGAGATTGAGACCCACGGGCACCGAGGTGCTTTTCTCGATGAATCTGTCGTGAATCTCACGGCGGATTCATCGACACTTGAAATCGTTACGTGCCAAAAAAAAAGAAGGAAAAAAAAAATAATAACGATAAAAGAAGAAATTCAATTGTTAAAGGGAAAAAAAAAAAAAAAAAAAAAAAAAAAAAAAATCTAACTGCGAATTACCCTAGGGCGCCAACTGTCGATCACGGAAACCAATAAACGACAACTAACTACTAACCACTGCTAACTCTTATTTTGGTGGGCGTAGGTTCGAATCCCGGCCTACAGCAGTGGCCCGACGCCAAATTTGAGTTGTTTGCTAAAAGAAAAGGCTAGCCCAAAGGTAGTCGGGTTTCGATCCATCAGTCAGCTGCATGCAAATCCGATCGGTTAATTACTGGGCTAGCTCTTACCATGATATGGTAAGGAGCTGCCCTCCTATAAATAAAGTTCATTGGCCTGAGTGTGTGCGTGACCCGCAAGGGTATTTGTTTTGCTTGGAAAGCCCCGCAGGGACATTAGTTGCTTGTGGCCGTGACTTTGGGGTTTGCAGCGGGGAAACACTCAGGTAGCGGGTCGGCCGGCACTTAGCCGCGACCACGATATTGAGGGTCGAGGCGGGAAAAACACTCAAGTGGCAGGTTAAGAGGTCCGCGACAGCTAAGAGCCGCGGAAAATGCTCAAGCAACAGGTGGGCCGGTACCACACCAAGTAGAGGTAGATATGCCGAGTATTCAAGACCGAGCAGAAGAAGACAAAATTGGCATTTCCAAAGGCTCAGTACCGTAAGGTAGGCGGGCACTGGCTCCAGTAGTACGAGTCTAGACCCTGTGCGGACGATATCAGAGTTTGCCACGGTGTCTCCCTCTGCAAAGGGACGAAGGCACCGGTCGCTCGGGTAGCCATGCGATTAGGAAGTCACCGCCCAACGGACGACTCCCTTCCTACCTATGGGAGACCGAGCTAGAGTCTCAACCTCGCTCACGATGCACTAGTAAGGATAGAGGTACCGTTCGAGCAAATGTCAACAATCGGGGCGCTACCTCAACACCGATGATCATACACTAATAATCACTCCGGTCATACGACCAGGGCGCGTATTAATTTATTCTGATTAATGTACTTACGATTAAGTCTCAGCTTACATCGTAGATCTATTTGTCATAACATCAACCTTATCGACCCCTCAACCTCTTCGGTCGAAGGGTATTACTGCAGATCCTAACCATCACAGCGTGCGTCATAACAACGCGCGCGCATACTTAATGAAATTTTCTTACCGATTTTGACCCGGCCTCAACGGTCGAGGAAAGTCGTTTCAAAGTGCCGCGCGAAGAACGCGTACACCTTTAAGTTCAGACTGACACCACCATGGTGGTAGACGCAATCGATGTGTCGATTGTAAAAACATGGCCAAATACCCTTGTAAGGGTATTTGATCCGACAGTATCCCAGACCCCATTAAGTGACGTGCCCGTCGCTAGGTATGTTTATCACGATCGTTCATACAATTCCCTCTTTATCGTTTCCCATAGTCAAATCAACCGATAAAATATGACATGATCGATAACATCACTGGACAGGTGATACAATACAAAACAATACATGTATACTTCCCATACCCTATTAAGCGACGTCCCCGTCGCTCGGAGAACTATATGCAAACAAGATGTTTTCAGACAAGCAAATCGTCAAATCCGAATCCTGGAATGAAATGTGGTTTCAAGATTGACGTCGCCATCTCACTTTTCATTATTGCTGCCAGGATTTTAACCCGGGTCTCTCACAGAAAATAAATTTAGTGACTTGAAGTGGGGATACTTGATCTGTACTACAGTACATGAAATAGTTAAGTATGACAACGCACCTTTCCTTCCCCCACACCCCTAGTCTTTGGCCCAGGTATTCGTTGGTTGTTTTCAGGGACGGTGTCCGCGTGCGAACTCAACCCGTCAAACGCGGGTCCTAACCGAGACCTTGGGTGTTCAACTCTTGATATCACAATCCAAAGTAGTCGGTCGTCCTGCCCGAAGCCTAATACAGGAGGACAATGGTCTCCATCATGACCCACCACAGTCCTGCTGATCAGGCCGGAGCTGCGGCCCACTGTGTTGTTATATTAACAGTGGTTCCCGTATTGGTTACTCAATAACGGGTAAATCCTCCTATCCTGGGTTTTACCCAGTTTCTAGACCTGACTCTCGGCCCCTCTAGTAACCACCTGAGTTGATTCCCTCACTAGGGCAGCTGCCCTTCAGGTCTCAACTCTAGGCCAAAACCAGAAGGTCCACTGCCTGGTTATACTTGGTCAGCAGCCAACGCTGGGAGTTACGTCCCAACGATGCCAATTTTCCACTATAGGCTTGGTAATTTATGCCCTCAGGTTAACCCTTGGGTGGATGAACGATGCTTTTTAAATAAATGAGATAATAAATTGAGCATTCGTCAGGCTGCCACTCAGGGTTGTGCCCTCCAAGTCTTTGATCATAGCTCGGTGAGGCACGCACCTCAGGGTCATTTTGTATATATATAAAAAAAACTAGGTTACCAATGGTCCGGGGGCCGGATGTCTCCCCCGGACGTCTCCCCCAACCGTCCGGTATGGGAGTTGTCCGGGATCCCGGACAAGTGGTTTTTGGCATTAAAAAAAAAAAAAAAAAAAAAAGGATGTTCTTGCGCAAGACTAGGAGATTCTCCTCCAAAAAATTGGGGTGATTCGGAGCATTTTTGGGAAAAAAAATGTTTTTGGCATTTTGCCACTTTTTGGGGGATCTCCCACTGATGCAAGGAACATGAATGTGGATGAAGATCAGAAATCCAAACTGCAAATCACACTGAAGTCCATGTAGACAAAGCAAAAACAGATAGCGTGGGCCTGGGTCCCATTTGCTCTGCCCAGGTGCAGTACAGTTAAGGGTCCAGGCTGCACAGTTGTGCCTCTTTCATCCTGATCATCGTCCAGATTCAGACAGTGGACCAGTTTCCCTTTGGCAAATTCGGCATCCAACCTGCGTTTGCAGAATTCATGACTTCGTGCATCCAACCAACTGGCGTGCACCCAACCAGCTGGCATGCTAAAACTGTGTAGCCCCCACTTAATGAAATGTTGAATGCAGGGTCTTCTGGGCATTTACAGGCCCGCCTTCACTTAGGGCGGGCAC